GGGCCAATGCAAATACTATCTGCCACATCACTGCGTGCTGAAGTAAGCTAGTACTACAACCAAGCTAAGGGTCGTGTTTGATGGATCAGCTAAATGATGAACTGAATGGAGTGAATGATGAATGATGAATTAATGATGCACTGATGGCAGGTCCTACCATCCAACCGAAACTGTTTTCGATACTGATGCGTTTACGTACATTCGCAATCGCCCTCATAGGCGACATATGCAAAATGTATCGATGCGTACGAGTCGAACCTATCTTCATGGTATCCTGTGCCGTTATTCTCAGCACCAGAAGCTACAGACTTACAAAGTAGACACCGTAACCTACGGCACAAAACCAGCATCGTTGCTCTCAGTGCGGGCTATGCACCAACTGGCCATGGATGAGCAGAAGGCATTTCCTATTGGCGCTGACATTATTAAAAGGGATTTCTACGTGGATGATCTTATCTCTGGTGGTGGCTGTGTTCAGGAAGCAGTTGAGATATTGAAGCAAACTTCTGGACTTCTCGCCAAGGGCAACTTTAAGCTGCGAAAACCAGTTTCTGGCTACGCTACTGTACTCCAAAGCATATCGGACGAGGATAGAGAATCGCTGCTTAAGTTCAACGATGGCAGCGATATCACGAAAAAGTTAGGCCTCGTTTGGGATCCCGTCTCAGACTGTTTTCTTTTTTCTTTTTCTCCACTGAGGCTAGCCTCGAGACTGACAAAACGATCAATCCTCTCCTCAACTGCTCGTTTTTACGACTCCCTTGGTCTTGTTGGTCCTGTAATAACAAAATCAAAAATTTTTATGCTGGATCTCTGGAGAGAAAAACTGGACTGGGATGAGAGCTTGCCTGTACACTTAAGCACAGCCTGGGTCAACTTCTTCGCTGATTTTGAGCAGACTCAGCAATTCCAGTATCCCCGTCGTGCAACCTCATCAGACAGCACAGTTGAGATTCACGGATTTTGTGATGCCAGCCTGAGCGCTTATGGAGCATGCGTCTATACTGTTTCAAAGTGCCATGGTAACACAAGCGTACGTATCTTGTGTTCCAAGTCGCGTGTTGCGCCTGTGAAAACCATCACTGTACCAAAGCTAAAACTCTGCGGAGCTGCATTGTTGGCTGAGCTTCCCAGCGAAATCTGCCAATTGAATGTGTTTCACTGTCGTTATTACTGCTAGTCAGACTCTGCTTTAGTTTTGGCTTGGATTCGCAATGATGCTTCCAAATTCAATATTTTCGTTGCCAATCGGGACGCAGCCATCCAAGAACTCGCCACTGGAATGGAATGGCATCATATTCCCACTAAATTAAACCCGGCGGTAATAATTTCACAAGTAGCGCTGCCCAGTGAGCTTTTCAGGTCATCGTTATGGGCCCATGGCTCGAGCTTTCTCAGAAAAGAAAGGCAAGAGTGGCATGCCTCCTGTGTATCTGTCGAATCCTTGCCCGAACTCCGATAAAAGGTACTGCAGCGCAACGCGTCTTTGCTTATATTTACAAGTTTGTAAATCGAATCCGAGGTAACTTTAAGCCACGTGGATCATGGCATACATCTGTTTCTGCGGTCAGTGCAAATGGCTACTCTTGGCGATGACTTCAAGGGACTAAGGAAGGAAGGCCCATTGAAGTGGCCATTAGCTAGAGTTCTAGAGCTGATCTCGGGATCTGAAGGGGTATATAGAGTTGCAGTGCTTTAGACTGCGAATGGAGTCATACGCAGAGCCGTACGAAAGCTATGATTGCTGCCAAAACCGGATGATGTTGAAAGTCCCTTGCCTTCCAACGGGGTGAGGATGGTTGGTCAAGTGACCGGTAGAGATAACAGCGACGGCTGCGTGCAGTAACAGTAAAAGACAATAAACATAATTACAGCTTAAGATCAAAGGATGTTTGCTCTTTGTAAGTTGCTGCGGAGTTCAATTTGGGTCGTTTTGCATATAGTTTAGTTTTTTCGTTTGATCGCAAGCAAGGCACAACATCATCCTGCTTCTTAGATGTAGAGTCTAATAGCGTCAATGACAAAATTAGCTGTGACACAGCTTGCCGGCCTGGCAAATTAAACACCTCCATCGGTCGGTGATGCTATTAGAAAATTGTGTAGTCGCACTAGGCTTTTAGCATTATATATTTATTATATATGTAAATTGTTTTGAATAATTTGGACAAAAGAACCGGGCTGCAACTGGCTTGCTATGCAATAGTATACAAGCACTTAGTCTCGGACACCTTAATAATTTACAGTGGTTGAGTATAATAGGGGAACGACAACGACGATTGTAATGACAATAATTTTTTGATCGTACCTATGGCAGCTACATGATATAGTGCATGCAACAGAAAGAACATCTGCAAAGTTTCATATAGATAGCGTTAGAACTGAGACTCGGCTGTTGATGCTGAACGAGAATATATCTACTTTATGGGGTCGGAGATGTCTCCTTCAATGCGGAAGGAGTATGTGCAAGGTCTCCAAGCGCGGCACCATCGCCGGCCAACGTTTTTGTGATAGAGTTTGTCGTCGTCACCGAGGACAATCTGCCGACCCCGCAGTGCCTGATTGGCAAAATGACGGCGCGGCTTGTAGGCAAATGTTAACTTGGCTACCTGTTTAATGAAGCGCCCAAGCACCAAGATCCGCACATTGCTTAATTAATTGAATTTAAAATGTGAAGTGAGAGCGTAATGAAACGTTATCAGTTGCTTTGGGAGCGAATTCCCCTGGCTTCGCCGCCATAGTTTAATTTAGGCTTATAAAGTTTAGTGTCTGTTATAGTATTATACATAGTATAGTATTATAGTATTATCCAATAAGCACGAGGAGCATCAAATATACGTGCTTTAAAGCCATCAGTTTTCTAAATAATTATATATAATTTTTCAGGTAAAGCTTAACTTTTTTGTATCACACTATGAAGAAAGGATATGGAATAAAAAACAGTTAAATAAAATGGCGTTTTAAAATAAATTAATCTCAGGGTCAAATGTAATCAGCTCTAACTTACGATCAATATATAATTCCATAAGAAGCACACATCAAAATTTATTCTTCTCACAAAAGAGAAAAGAGTCAAATAATTAGCTTGAAAAACTGATATTTTATATGCGTTCCAAAAAGAGGAGGTATATCACAATCGTGCGAGCTACTATGCGATATTCCTTAGCTACTTCAATGTCATCCTTAACTTCTATTGCTAAGATTTTACATGTGTTTAGTACAGCAACCACTGTTACATCATTAAGTAAGCTACCTTGTCTGGTAGATAAATTATGTATTAGATCTGCTTCCAGCAATTTGGTTTTTTTCATTTATATTGACAGTCTCCACTAATTGCATCTTCCAGCTCAGAACAAATTCCACTAATGAATTATTGATCTTTTAATCCACGCATTGTGATATTAATGCAACTATTTCTGACGTTCAAGGAGAATTAGGAAGCTTGTCTGTAACGTAACATAAAAAATCTGAATTCCAGTCAGCCTCTTTGTTGCCTCTTAAAATATCTAGTAAGGGATACGACTCCTCTGCCACATTGATATGAATTGAGTTGAATGTTCGGAAACTGACAACGCTTCATGAAACGGTTCAATAGGCCATGACTCAGTTATAGGCGAATTAAAAAAAAAACATTTCTAAATTGTATTTGTAAGGCGGATTTGCTTCATAATATCATTGATTGGTTCGATTGGGGCTAACAATTAATTTTGTGGCAATTGCCTCTAGGTCGAGTGCTCTTACCGATACTATTAGGCACGAGCCTTGTCTCTTTTCTTGATGGCTTGCTGAACCAGGCTAGCACTATTACCGAGATGCCTGAAAATGCACGTACAACTAAAATATTGGTATATTTTGTTATGCCGTAAGCGCTTTGGGCATATCGCAACTATCATGTTACTTCAACTTTGACTTAAGGAAAGATTGTATGCGTGTTTGACTTCTTTGGAGGAGATAGCTTGGCAGGAATGCATCTTTTCCTAGTTTATGTGGCCAGAAAGAGATCTGCAAGAGCATAATTACAAACAACTTTCGATTTTCAGAAACTGAGCGAAATCGCTCTATTGCTTTTTTATAATTTGATACGTTTAAATTTATTAGAACAATTAGTTTACGGGGCGAAGTGAAAATAGCTGTTGACTAAGTCCTACTGTGTCTCGCATTTTTTCTGTAAGCAGCCCTCGCTGCTTACACTGGAAGCGCACCGTTAGAATTAGTTTTTACATGATAAGTCGATCGCACGCAGCTGCACAAACTGAATTTTGTCGAGGTTCATTTTCGTTTTGTGCTTGCAGCTGAGCAGAAGTGAAAGAGAACAGAAGCGCGTGCGGAGCACGAATGTAAGTCTCATAATCATGTAAAATATAGGCTGTTAAATAATGAAAGAATAAGAAAGATTTCAGCGTTCGAATTAAATTATATCGTACCGCCTTGTACGAATCGAATTGAATCGAGTTGTTTCTTTCGACGCTAGAAGTCCCTGCCGAATACGCGCCCCGGCACGAGTCTCGGTGCCAACACGAGGTCTTCCCTATCTTTGGCATCACAACCTAACATAGATCGTTTCTATCGCAGCTACATAATTTAGTGGTCCGATCTAGCTTGTTCCCACATATGTACTGCGTGCAAAAGAGAGAGGGATTTCTCTAAAGTTTGGTTAAGATAGCCTTAAACTGAGACTAGTTCGCATAGAAACAAACGGACGGATGTTGATCCTGATCAAGAATATATATACTTTATGGCTTTGGAGATGTCTCCTTCCATGCGTAACACATTTCACGGCCAACTTAGAATACCCTCTGTAAGGGAATGAAAATGCAGTAATAACAACAGAATAATAACTCATTGGTTTTTCTAGAGGACTGGTGCAGTTCATTTAAGTTCGTTTGTTTACCGGTAAGCTGGCAGGAACATCACGACGTTAATTATGTGATGCATAGCGGTTAACTAGTATAGGTTAAGGGCAGGACTTACTTATTTATTACTCAATTTAACAAGTCGACACCTTTTAAATAGAAAGTTGACAACCACAGTCAGCTCAAATTACATTTATTATTTTGTTCAATACTTAATAATTTTATATATTGTAATTGACAGTTTAACATAAACTATAATTCTTTATTTAACATCGCATAGCAAAGCAACGCCACGTAGGACCCAATGATCTGGTGGCTTATTAGATTGCAACCACAGTGGGCAGATATAATTAAGATCGGTGCGATTGATTTTCTTATAGACAGGACATGTGTAAAGTTTTGGATTTTTGGCAGCTGTTGAGTAAATGGCATAGATATGCACAACTGGCATAAGTGTAAATAAAACTTTATTAGTTGATTCCACAAGGCGCGATGTACGTCTATCCCAGCCGGCACCATCTACATATAATCCATGTACAAATACTCCCTCTTTGGGCGGCTTTTTGCATTCCTCTGGACCAACTTTCAGTGCATCATTATGCATTGTTACTTGATCTAAGGCCCAGCCTTGATGCGCCCGAGCAACTTCTTGACGCATAGCCGTAAGAAACCCTTGTGGATTAAAAAATCCAGACATCCAAAAGACAACTGGACGCGAGCCAAAGCACCAATTGTAGAACTGCGTATGGCGGTCAATAAGTTCGGTAAACCAGAAGCCTAAGCTAGAGGAAACCCAACTACCACGCTTAAATACAGTTGGTACCCGAGCATTAAAAATATTATCCAGAGCATCTCTTAAGTTTTCACTCATTATAATAGTTCCTTCAACAGCAAGTAGGAGATCTTTAAAAGTGTTACGCACAAGAAGTATGATCTAGAATGAAAAAGTCTTAAAAATAAGGTATTTACTATATCAATTAAATGTGTTTAACTCTTTGCATTCTATCAATCTCTTGGCGTAGAAATATATTCATAGAACTTGTAGCACCTGCAGCAATGAGAACTTGCTTAACATCAAATAAGTCGAACGCTGGAGGAGTTTTACCAAGCATTTCTCTAACTTGACGGGAAACTCGATCCTCTCTAGTCTCGGAAGTTCCACTTGAAGATTCTATTTAAATATGTAGAAAAATTAAGTTTTTTCTTAAGTTACGTTTTTTTTAAGTTACTTTTATTTTTGCTCACTTTCTGTTACTTTTTACTTTAAAAGTTAGGGAATATAAGATAATAATTTGTTAAATGCTTACCTTTAGGTTGAATGGACATTATTTCTTCCAAAATATTACGCATCGTATTAGTTTGATATGTTATTTCGGCATTCGAATTAAATCCATAAACCTGTGGAGGGTCGACATTCAACATATTGTCAATGGCTGATAAATATGCTTCACGTTCTTTGAAGCTGTATACGATGTATCCTTTGAAGAACTGAAAATTGTCCTCGAAAAGAGCATCATGAAACCAAACACGCGTGAATGTATTAAGAAGTCGCTTGTCATAATCATCGGTAACACGTCCACCATATTGTACCTCTCCAAGCATATAACGTACGGTAACCCAGCTTATACCCTTTCCTGGTTCAAGATCATCTAAATGGTTTTGAACAAATAAGCAACTGGCCAACCAATCAGAAGAATTAAATTCATAGGGGATATTCCATCCAAGTGGCCCAAATTTACGTCTTTCTTGTACCACGGTATGAAGAAAGGATATAGAATAGACAAGAGATAAATAAAATGGCGACTGTGAATAATCCAGAAAATCCTGGGACAAATTGGTATAAGTTCGCTTAAGTCCCGCTCGTATTCCCGCTGGAGGTTCATTTGTATATTTAAGTGACATCTGTAATAGTGTTATTGGAAACATAGGGTGAGGCTCGGTGGTAATCCAAATGCGAAATCCTGGATTAATTAATTGTTTACTTTGCCGTTCTAATTCCAAAATTTGAATCATTAACTCGTTCATGTACTCCAAACCAAGGTGACAGTTTTGCAAAAGCACCCACCCGCCTTCATCCATGCATGTCGAAATTAATTTACGAGCATGGATCTCTTGTCCCTGGCCCATTGATATTGGGTGGCATTTGAGTTCATTCTTTTTAGCTAGCAATTCTATATTAGATGATGGATCTGAGCCGAGTGAAAGAAAACATATCATTGGGACAAGCTCTCTACTCTCTAATAGTAACTCTTCAAAATTAAGAACGACAGGTTCCGCGAAACGTTCACCCAATGAGTGAGATATATATTTTCGGCTTTGAGCAATAGTTCGGTCCATACACCAGGAGCGTATAAGAAGCATCTTACGAAACGGATCGAGTGAATTGAAACCATCTGGTATGATTTCATTTTCAGGGGAATCTTTTTTGAACCATATGAACCAGGCTCTCTCATTTCCACTAACTTTTGTAAGTATGTTGACAAACGGGGATAGATTTGTGAGCTGCACCAAGTTTAGCCATGTTTCATCTGTTACCCAGCGAAATGGCACCGGAGGACAGTCATTCAGATTAATCGCGGCGCCTCCTTTTATAAATGTCTGGAATTCGTCAAATGTAATCAGCTCTAACTGTCGATCAATACTTAATGCCATAAGAAGTACAAAAAGAAATTTATCTTTCTCATACAGTCCACGGGACTTATACCTGTAAATTTCAAGAGTCAGGTAGTTTATAATTCGTTTGATACGCTTTTGTGTTATATGCGTTTTGGCTGAGTTATGCATAGAAGCATCGAAACGGTCCAAAAACTGTACGAGTGAAGTTTGGTACATGTTGTTAACCATTGTCATACTACAAACAAGGAAGTATAGCACACTTCCACGAGTAGCAACGACGCGATATTCTTCACGCGCAGCATTTATCTTGCCCTCAGTTACTTTAGCTACTTCAATTTTTTCTTTGACTTCTATGGCTGTGTTTTTACTTGTGTTTAGTACTTCAATCACTGTTACATCATCAAGTAAACTACCTTGTGTGGTAGATAGTTTATGTAATAGATTTGCTTCTAGCTCTTTCATTTTCTTCATATTTATAGTGACTGTCTCCACTAATTGTACACGTTCATCTTCCAGCTCTTTTCTTTCAGTAAGTATGACACGACCTAATAATTGGTCTTCTAATCCACGCATTGTGACAGTAAAGTCAATTATAGATGTTCGAGCAAATATTTCTGGCGTATAAGCGGGATTAGGAAGCTTGGTTGTAATGTAGCACCTAAAGTCTGGATTCCAGTCAACCTCTTTGTCGCCTATTTTAACTTTATATTGTGTTCCAACCTTAAGCAAATTGCGATCCAGTAAATTATCTAGGCAGGGATCTAACTCCTCTGCCACATCTTCAATAATAATAGGTTGCCCCAAATTAAGTGAATCTTCAATATGATTACGAAAGTATTTGTGGTTAAGAGCTGTAATAATCAGTTGATTTTGTTTCTCCATATTTTTAATCCAAACTTTGCCCTGTGACTGTGGGTCAATAAGCAGTGGAAAGCGCCTTGCTTTCGTGGCAATAATCCCATTCTGAATAGACAGTTCATCTGTGGGTAAACCTTGGATATTCCATTCACCAATTTGTGATCGATCTGTAAGATTATCTATAACGTTTACGCTCGCTGAAATCGGAATCATTTTTTCAATAATTTGTTTAGTCCAAATGCTTAAAAAATAGCTTCGAAATTCTTGATTAAAGGGACCGGTATAAGATAGAAATGCAGTAAGCAAAATAACGTCACCAACCAAACGTTCCGTCTCACTTTTAAATGATGCAATTTGTTCTGTCCACCGGATTTTTTCGCCAACTAATCCACCAATTAGCGCAGTTGCAGCATCCATTTTGTCCTGACATTTTTTTGCTTCAGTCAAAACGGTTTGTTTTTTAGAAACAGCTTCTTCCAAAGTCCTTTGGACATCCGCTAATTCATTTTCTTTTTGTTGTAGTAGCTCTTCGGCTTCACGTAAGTCCTCCGAAGCTCTTTGATATTTTGCCTCTTGAACGGCTAAATTTGCTTTTAGTGGAAGAACCTCTTTATTAACTTCAAAATATTTAGCCATAGCCATTGTCCAGGATAATAGACCAGCGACGTTGCCACAAGCTACTTTTGCGGCTTCAAACGTGTATTGACTAGGAAGAAATAAACATAAGAAGTTAGTTAAAAGTAACAGTTTTACTTATTAATTGGTGGTTCAGGACCGAAACATTTAATTTTTGGGTATATTAATCTGGGGTATACCTAACTACAAATTTTAGGTTTTGAAGCTCAAATATGCCACCTGTCCATGCTCAAGCGCCACTTGAAAAGGAGCTACTGGATAGGGTTTGCTGGGATAAAGGGGTTGGAGGGGAAAATGTTTCAAATGGATTAAACCTACTTGTCTAGAGGGTATGACGTAGTGTTTATTAACAAGCCACTCGAAAAATTCGCGGGTGTCGCTCCTGCTACACCGTCACATCCACATCCGCTTAGTCCATGCGAAGCCACCACTTCTATTGCAGGAACAGGGACCATTGGCCAAAGACACAATAATATTTTTTGTTGGTTTTTAGGTGTTTGGTCAAGTAACCAGAAGAGACAACACCGGCGGGTGCTTGCGTAACAGCATAACACAGCAATCAAAATTACATCCTATGAGCAAATAATATTTGGTTGGAAGGGGAATTGGATGGATATGTGGAAAAGTACGGGGTGCTATGTTTCCATTTGTGTGTGTGTGTGTGAGTGTGTGTGTGTGTGTATGTGTGTGAGTGTGTGTGTGTGTGTGTGTGTGTGTGTGTGTGTGTGTGTGTGTGTGTGTGTGTGTGTGTGTGTGTGTCTGTGTGTGTGTGTGTGTGTGTGTGTGTGTGTGTGTGTGTGTTTGTGTGTGTGTGTGTGTGTGTGTGTGTGTGTGTGTGTGTGTGTGTGTGTGTGTGTCTGTGAGCGTGTGCGTGTGTGTGTGTGTGTGTGTGTGTATGTGTGTATGTGTGTGTGTGTGTGTGTGTGTTTTTTTATTTTTTTTTTATTTATTTTGGAAGAAAAGAAAATAACGGCTTAACATTTTACAAGGGGGAACTAAGACAGACAAAGAAGGAAAGGGTATTTTATGGGGAGTAGAAAGTTGTAGCCCGCTCCTGCGGGACAGCCGCAAAGTACTACTTCGCAGGGCGGGGTACGGCTGTATATCAGCCGCTCATCAGTCGATGCCGCGTCGGATCCTCTCCTGTCGTCGCAGCTCCTTCATTATAGCCGATGCCATGCTAGCAACGGCTGTCCATCCTTTTTCAGTGGCCACCATTCGCGCCAAGAGATTCTCCGGAGACAAAACATTTCTGCCCGCCGTCGCTTTGTCTCGCTCGCGTCTATAGACTGGGTAGTGGAACAATGCGTGCTCCGCGTCCTCAATCACACCGTGTCCACAGTGCTCGCCCTCATGATTAAGCCTGTACAGGTGCGCTTTAAAGCAGCCACGCCCAGTCAATATTTTTGCTTTGCCATTGTTCGATGGTGTTGTCCCTCAGTTGCCTGTTGGTGGTTGCGCCACTTTGCCTTTCGGCCGCCATCAGGCCGAGTGGGATCATGCCTGCCAGTACTAAGGCCACGTCTTCCAATACAGTGCGGAAGCAGGTGGCTGCACGCAATGCACATCGTCGGTATGCAGCATTGCATCCTCGGCTGTAAGATGCAACCTCCATTGCGGGGGCCCATATGTTGGATGCGTAGAGGATTGTGGACGTCACCACTCCAGCGATTAGCCTTCTGCTCCTCTGCCTTGGTCCTTTGGTGTTCGCCAACATTCGGCTAATGGCTGTTGTAACACTGGCCGCTTTGTGGCTAATATACTCCAGGTGCTGTTTATACGACAGTCTGTGGTCTATCATGACTCCCAGGTATTTGATGGCGGGCTTGGACTTAATAATAGCACTGCCAACGCGCAACGATGTCGTCTCAACTATCTTTCTGCTTCTTATTAAGACTGCCTCCGATATCTGCTCCGCTAGCGTGAGTCCGTTCTGGGATAGCCACTCAATTATCCTGTTGATGGCCGCACTGCTCCTAAGAGTGACCTCATCGAGTTTCTTCGCCACAGTAACAACAGCGATGTCATCGGCGATCCCAATGATTGCGTTGCCCTCTGGTAGGCAAAGGCGCAGTACTCCGTCGTACATGACGTTCCACAGTAGCGGCCCGAGAACAGAGCCCTGACGAACGCCTCCAGTTACCCTGTACTGACGTTGGCCGTCTTCCGTGTCGTAATTTAGCACTCTTTCCTGGAAGTAGCTGGTCACTAACTTTATTAATTGGCTCGGGATGTGTCTGGCCGTTAGCGCTTTCAGTATTTTTGTCCCATTGGCTGAGTTGAACGCGTTCTTGGCATCCAACGTACAGACTAGGCAGTAGTGTTTGGTGCCACCTGTCCATCTTGTGCCTTGGATAGCGTTGCATTCTAGGCGATTGCAAATTATCCGCTCAAATATTTTTACCATTATTACCCCGTTCGGTATTCCGTCTGGTCCAGAGGATTTGTCGGCCTTTAGCTTCGCAGCAATGCTCAGTACCTCATTGTCGTCGGTGGGTGCACAGTCGTTTATTCCATTTGCTGGTAGTTGCGGTGCAATTCTAGGTGTCTGTCGAGGAAAGAGCGTTAAAACTATTTGTTTCAGCTGTTCCGGGTTTGTTGGCATTGGTTGCCTGCATAGCCTTCCCATGACTAGCTTGTAAGCTAGTCCAAAGGGCTCCACGTCCGCAGCGTCGCAAAGCTCTTGGAAGTATCGGGATTTGCTGCGTCTGATAGCTTCCTTGAGTAATTTCCGCTTGGCTCTGAAGTTCTGTAGATGGTGCTCAAAATTGGGGGACGGTCTTGACCGTTGGCTCTTCCGCCTAGCTGCGAGGCACTCTTTGCGCGCTTTGGCTATGTCCTCGTTCCACCAGGCTACCGGTCTGTGTGAGTTTCCACCCTTGCGAACTTTAGTCAGTATAGCGTCACATGCGTTGGTGATAGTCTCTACTATCCCCTCAGCATAGCTGTTGGCATCGCCTCTTATACCAAGTCCTTCTACCATAGGGAGGAGTCTTTCCAGGTCCATAGTGTCCATCTTGTATCCAATGTGTTGGAGCCTTCTACTGGCGCCTTTGCTTCCAAGGTGGGAGGTGTCCGTTATTACCGCAAAGTGGTGGCTGTGGGTGTATGCATCCGATACATGCCATTGGGTGTCTCGGGCAACGTCTGGACTGGCAACCGTCAGGTCTATGATCGACTCGCGACCCACTTTGCTGTAAGTGCTTCTTGTGCCGATGTTCAGCAGACAGACAATCAGCGAGGCAAGTATGTCCAGCAGGATGGTTCCCCTTGGTGTCGTTCTGCTGCTGCCCCATTCTGTGGCCCACGCGTGGCAGTCCCCGGCGATTATCACTGGAGACTTTCCGTGCGCGTCCTGTGCGATGTCTTCAATAATGGCTGTGTACTCTGCCAAGGGTATGCTTGGTGGTATGTAGTAGCTATTAACGTATATGCGACCACATTTTGCTCTAGCAAGCCCTTTGCGAGCCATCCGTTGAGTGAGCTGGTGTGGTGCCTGTCCGCAGCTCCATAGTGCTGCTCCAGCGTCTAGGCTTTCGTGCCACACTCCGATATTTTTGGGTGTATACGGTTCGCTAATGATGGGTAGTTTAAGTTGCAGGTTTAAGTTGATGGTTTAGTCTAAGTTGCAGGAACTTAACCATTTTTAAGCGCTTTGTAGGCCTTCTTATACTCTGGGCAGTTCCTGCTCAGAGTTGAGTGCGTGGCTTGGCTAGTGCCCGTGCCCATTCTTGTGCAGAGGATGCACTTTGACCCATGCGTGCACTGTCCAGACTTATGCCCAGTACCTGCGCATTTAAAACACGTCTCATTTCCCACCGGATGCTGGCTCTTGCATCTGGTGGATGTATGGCCGAATCCCATTCATCTGAAGCATCTCTTTGGCTTGAGCGATCTGCTGTCGTGGACTCATCGATATCTAGAACCTCCATTTGCACCGTTTCCTGCAGGGTTCTGACGGCAGCTTTTCCAGCAAGTGCGCTGCTGATTGCCACATGCAACTGGTCGGTAGCTGGGTCCGATGGCTTCTGGAGCTTGAGGATCAGCTCTCCTGCTGCTGATTTGCACAGGTTTTCCGTAAGCTGCGTTTTGACTACATCTTGCAGCTCTTTTAGTCCCGCTAGCATGCCCTTAGTGGCCAAGTTTATGTGCCTCATCGCTGGCTGCTTGCAATTAATCATGAACAGTAGCTCGTCCAGTATCGAGCCAATCTCTTCGATCTCCTGGGTATTTGCCTTGCCCTTCTCGGGCGGGGTGCTCCGTGGCTTGTTCGTAGGGCTGGCCGGGTCGGCCTGGCGTATTCCTTCTTCCTCTTGTCCACCTAGTGGGGTGGTGCTTTTGTTGTTTTAGTTCATCATTGTGCTTAATTGGGTCCCAACTCGAAGCCGTTGTTGTCGTGTGTATTGTGCAGTCACCTTCGCGATCCCGTGGTTGCCTTTCCATGGAGTGAGGTCCACGCGAGGGTTGACTCCGTTCCTTATGGGAGGCGGAGTTCAGAGCCAGATCAGTGGTGGTCAGGGAATATCAACTGAGCCTGCACGGCCAATGGTGAAATACGACAAGCGACATACGACAAGCGTTCTACGAGGCCTGCCAAGGTTTTAGCGGGACGGGGGCGAGGAGAGCATTAACCTAGGAGCTATTTCGACAAGGTGTCAGCTTGCTTATTAAGGTCCTAGAATGCCCGACTTGTCAGCCCATGTCTACAGTTACGTAAGGGGGTCCAGTGGGTCGCTTCCACACTTTACTGGGCTCAGTGTGGGGATAGAGTTTTGCTTGCTTGCATTAACGGGCGTGCTGCCAGTTGTGGCGCTCATCGCTGCTGATTTGTGGCTCCAATGGTGGCCAATGGTTTCTCACTGGCGTTTTACAGATAGGAGCTTAAACGCTCCAGCTCGGTCGCCAGCGCCCCTTTTTAGTACACCGCTATGCGGCAGGAGTTGACTTGGTCGGATCCGTGACCTTCTGTAAAATTTCGTACCTTGAGTCTGCAGCTGTCTTCATGTATACCCACATAGCGTGGCATACTTTCGCGCGTGTTTGCTTTTTTACGTAGACGCATGT